GAGGAAAGTGCCCTTGAGCAACAAACCTCGATCCCACCGACTCCAGAAGTGCTGCAGGCGGCAGACCAACACAAACAAAACATGCTGCTCAAACCTGATGAGTGAAACTAAAGCAGCCACAACGCATCACACGCTTCATCCATCTCTGCGTCATCACATCGTGATCATTTTAACGGCCATTTGTAACAAATGATCAGGAAACGCTTCTTTGAGAAAACACCGACAAACTACTATGGTGTTACTTGGTTTGGAGAAGGTGTTGTCCGGTAAACATCCTTTAAATATCACAAAAGGGAATAAAGCATGCAGGAATTCAGATAATGGTCCTTTAGATTCAGCTACACGCTCAGATGGAGGGCACTGGAATGCCGTGTGTGTGTGTGTGTGTGTGTGGACTCGCAGGTCAGGTCTACTCCTGCAGAGAGACATCGGCGTGGGCGGAGTGACTGTCTGTCGAGCCGGTGGCGAGATGCGAGTGCCGCCATCTGGGAGAGAGATCTGCAGCACGGGGCAGCCTGCGGGCGGGAACTCACTGAAAGTTTCTCCCGTCTCAAAACGCCGCAGTTTCTCTCCGCGAGCAAAGCGGGACGAAATAAAGACGTGACGATCTTGCGGTCAGGGACAAAGAAAAGATGCTTCGTGATTATTAGGATTAATACTGATGTCAAGATGCTTCCTTTTTCCAGCTACTGCAGTCCTGACAAAAGGTTCCTCATGGGGCAAGTAGTCCTCTTATGCAGGGGGGAGGGAGGGGTCCCATTTCATTATATTTAAATTTCAGCCAATGGGTTTGCACCATTCCGGTGATCAATAAGAGCGCACAACCTCATTCACTGCCTCTCTTAAGAAACCTTCAGATGTGTCGTCTCCCGGAGGATTTCTCCGGCTCCCCGTCTCCGCTACAATTAAGTTCAAGTGCATTGATCACACTTCTCCTCTCTAGGCGCCGTGTTAGCGAGCAGATACGCAGCGGACGCCTCTCATCCTGTTATTTCTAAACAAGCGGAGCGAACCGGAGCCGAGTGCCCCTGTTAACGGGTGGGTACAGGACGAGTAATCCTGCTGTGGATTTATTATTTTAAGCCTGAAAGATCTAAAGAGAAACTCCCGGCCTTTACCTGAAACCGTTCTTTCAGCCGCAGAATAGAGCTAATCATTTGCACTCCTTAAGCCTAAACCGCCCGTAGTGAACCGCGGCAGTTTAGACGATAAAAAGTGCTTTTGAGTTCTGAGTTCTGTTTGAAAACCTTTAGGCCGAGACGCGAGCCGTCATTTAATGCAAATTCTCTGTCGCGCTGGATCCCCACAAGACGCAGAATAAGTTTGCAAAAGCGCCGTGTTTTCTCACGGCAATCATGACACTAACTTGGTAAAATCTCCAGAAGCCGCCAAGGTTCATCGTCCTTCGGCCATCAGTGAGTCACACTTAATGGACCGCCATCCATCCCGGATAATCCTCCTCTCTAGTGGCGAGATTCCTGATCCGTCTCCATGAAGCTCATTGGTCTCCACGGGACTCAAACAGGTAAACAAGACTATCAGCTTCCAGCAAACAGGAGATCTGCTCCCCTGGCGTCTGCAGATGAGCCATCGTCATGGAGCTGACGCCTTAGAGATTCATGCATGTGATCAGGACATCCTCAGGAATAGGAGTATCATCTGTGTGTGTGTGTCTACCAGACAGCGGCTGCTTTTACCTGGTACACTGAGGCGGGAATAATTAACGGCCATTTGCTCAGGTCACAGGAAGACGTTTGACATTTGCTTTGTTTGCCTCTTCCAGCTGACTGCACGTCGGTGTCGCCACAAAGTAGGAGGCATGCAGAGTGGGTCGGATGTAACAACAACCGAGCTGAGAAGAGATGGGAGAAGCAATCAAAGGGGAAGATTTGTTAACGTGAAAGCGACAGATTTGAGGATTTCCCTAAAGGCTGAAAGATGTGAAACCCGATTCCAAACAGTCAAGCAGAATCAAATCCCGGTACCTCCTGGCCCGGCTGCGTCTACCTCCACTGATGCGTGAGTGTGAGCGTGCCACAGAGAGGACGGGTGAGACGCCCATGGGAGGAGCGTCCAATCACGCCGTCCTCCAAGGAGGGAGAAAGCACTCTTGTCCTCTTCCTCCCCGTCCGCCCTCCCGGCACTCTCCTTTTCCTGTGTCTGAGTGGTGATAATGGCGGGCTGTCCGTCACGCGAGGGTCTGACCCAGATCCACCGGGCGAGGAGGAGGAGGAGGAGGACGGGGAGCGGGATGTCTCAGCCCTTTGACACGGGGGCCCCGTCCTCCCCGTCCATGACAGCTCCCGAAGCGAGCGGGAGCAGAGCCAAGGGCACTGTCTACCCGCCGTCTTCTGCAGAGGGGGGGACGTGGGGAGACGTGGGGGGAGATTGATGTGCAATGCAAAACAGCGGCAACCTTGCTCATGAAGCCGGTGTCCCGCGGCCAGGCGCTCATTATTCAGGGCCAGGGGAACAAACGCCACCGGGACGTCAACGGGCTTACTGGCGGGCTGAACTCCGGCGTCCGGCATCCAAAAAGTGTGCAAACCCCTCTGCCAGCCAGCATCCACCTTGCTGCATGGATACGGTTACTAGGGGAGGGAAGAGGGAGAGCGCGGCGCTGGGAGGAGCCGGTGGAGGAAAAAGAAAGAGAACAAGACTGACATCTGCCAAGGAGGCAAAACAAATATCCCTCTGACTGCTGAGAATGATGCAGTATTCTTCCTTCAAATCAAGTAGCTAAACAGGACATTTCATTTGGCACCAGATGTTCACAGCTGGCTGACCACAGTTTCTGGAATTCTTCCTGTGGGGACAATCAATGTTTGCCCCAAATTTCACGGCAGTCCGTCCAATTCTTGTCCGGAGACATTCCGACCGAGACCAAAGAGCGGGACCTCGCCGTCCCCCCGGCCCGACCTCGCCGTCCCTCTGGCTACACTGCCGGCGTCAACGAACATAGCGCGGAGAAGAAGACGGAGGTGTGTGAACGGCGACCCCGTGCAGCCACTGCAGGATCCAATCGGCCCTGATGGCTTTCACGGTGATGAAACCCTTGGAACAACGGAGCACGTGGATCCCAGCTGCTACGGGAGGTTTCAGCTAAAATAAAGCTTTTTTTGGTCTTACGTAATATTCATATGATGCTCATAGTTTCAATTGCTTTATCCATCCCCTGTGGCGCGGCATACTAAATTGCATTCATGAGCCATTACCAACCACAGAGCCCATCGCTAGTACAGTAGACTGCTGGTACAAAACGCTTCTGTTCACTTCTTTAAAAAAAAGAAAGAAAAAAGGATGGTATTACTTTTCAATGTGTCCTTCAAACTGAATAATACTAGTGGTTTAAGATGGAGAATATACGCCACAGTGCTATAATTTGGTTTGAATGCTCCCTGCCTCCCCCCCCCATCCTCCCCTTCCTCCCCTTCGCCCTTCACATGTCCTCGCGTGACGGTGCGACTGCAGTGAGCTTCTCCATCTCTCTGGGGTCCCAGCGTGCGGGAGAGGACTGTCTTCCCGCCTCTCACCTGTCTGTCGCTTATCTCCATCATGCACACTGCTGCCGTTTCTCCCACTGTCTCCCAACCTTTCTCACTCTCTCTCTCTCCCCCATCAGCTGTCACCCGCCGTTTCCATTTAGCTCTGCCCTACTTCGCTTGTTTTGGGGGTTTTTTGGGCCAAACAAAGGGACATTTCTGTGCGTCGCGCAGATGATGACTGGCAGGGAGTCGAGGCATTGACTGCTGGGCGGTGACGCTTGCGTGCGTCCCACGTACCCACGCCGCCTTGTCGGACGCTTTTCCGGTCACCGTGAAAAGTGCGGCCACGTAGGCCTGCGGCGGCGGCAGGTTGGCGAGTAGGAAGGAGATTGTTGAATCTGGACGTACATCCACCCTCTCACGCGTCTCACCTCTCAAATCAGCGCAGGGCGTGGATGTGAGCTGACTGCCGTTTCAATCCTCACCCTGAGAATCATGATTGATGATTGTCATAATCACCACCCAACAAAATAACCAGGACCCCCCTGCTCACACAGTTTCTCCATTACGGCCCAAAGCTGCGGCGCATTTCTCTGCTATAGTGGCAGAACTAATTAACAGCGTTTGATTGTCTTGCCGCAGAGGTGGAAGTCATTACCATCACATTTCCTCGTGGACGCAGAATACAGCGGTTAAACCTGGAGCAGATGTTCGCCGCGGGAATCCACTGTGGGTGAGCTTAATTCACCGCCATGTTACGATCACACTGGTATGCTGAAGGGACTGGACGCAGAGAGCAAAGTGACACGTGTTCCCGAACAACAGTTGCCTTACAAACGATTCCCGTTTTTTCCAGCAGACATCTGACTCCGTTCGCTCTTTTGAGCGTTTTGTATGGAATTGAGCGGACTAATTAGCCTCCCTGCCGATGTGAAATCCTGGCCTTTGTAGGGAGGCCGGGCAGACGGGGACTTCTGGGGGGAAAAAGGGAAACGGAAAGTTGTACCATTTCTCCGATGATCAATGACAGCTCAGATTTCTTAGAACCTCTCCTCGGTCCACACGTACCCAAAAGGCCCGTGGACATCAAATGAGCTCCATAGCGCACAGAGCGAAAAAAGAGCACAGAAACTTACACACACACACACACACACACACACACACACACACACGGTGATGATGAAGACAGAGCGGGGTATGAATGCACGAGCAGAAGAAAACCCAAAAGCCAAAACAGTTTCCTGCTTCTGTGTAAAATGTTCCCTCAGACTCCACTTGGCAGACAAAGTAGGTTTAAATGATTTATGAGAGGCAGCAACGCCTGCCAGTTGTTTGTTTTAGATAAATGCTACACAAAGCAAAAACTAACAACCCTGACGACGGCAAACAAAGAGAGATAAAAGTTTTCGGCACGAGCAGAAAGGAAGCAGCCGCTCCTGCCGAGCTCCACCTGTGACCTTTCTGGAAAAGAGGTGATTGACGTTGCGTTTCCAGTGCGACGGACACCCGGCTTACCTCCCTCGCCGTGTCCCAGCACCCACACCTGGCCGAGCTCCCGCCCATCGGACAGGAACACCTGGTAGTCCTCGCCAAACATCTGCCCACTTCCTGCAGACGCTCTGCAGCTCGGCGCGGCCAAGACCTGCAGCCACTGACTGCGTGATGCAACCGTCCTCTGCTGTGAGGACGCTGAAGTTACACGCTGCGCGCACGCACAAAAGGGAGCCTCTTCACACACACACACACACACACACACACACACACACACACGCGGCACTATACATTCTCTCAACATCTGCGGGCTCTTCATCAGCAGCGGGCTCATTCACAGCCGGCACCGGAGACGTGGCGCTCCGGGCTGCAGGAGCACTTCCCTTCTCCTTTTCCTGCGCACTTTGCCTCCCCCCCCTCACCCGCCCTCCCTCCCTCCCTCCCTCCCTCCTGGGCTCCCTCTTTCCATCCTTTCCCCTTTCTCCGACTGAAGGTTTCTGTGAAAGGCCCCGAGATGAAAGTCGTCCTCAATGGAAGCGTGATTGCGAAGACGGCCGCCGGCGGCCCGAAGGTGCCCCGAGAAGCGCTCGCTCAGGAGGCGCTCCGCCCCGCCGAGGCGCGCACGCCGCCACGGCGCCTCGGCTCTGGAGTGACATCAGAAAGATGCTGAGGTTAGCGGTCTGCCTCGCACACGCAGATGTATGGTACAGCAGCGCGTGGCCACTGTTTGTATCGTATCGTGACGCGCCGACGCACGCTGAGGGACCGCAGATGCGCCCGCTGCACAGTACCGGGCGGCGAGATCGGCGTACACGAATACGCATACTGACATACACAAAACACCGCTGAGTGGTCTGCATTGTAACAAGTGATGAGAGACGGAAACCTCCTCCCTCCTCCCTTCTTTTTTTTTTCCTGCCAGAGGTCACAATCAATCAGACGGGACGGAAACGAGTCGGGCCGGCGCGCCACCTTTGCAGCATGTGTGAGTTACGGCTTCCATGTTGGCAGGCGATGAGCGCGGGAGAATCATCGCCGGCTCCGCTCACGATGGACCACACGCGCACAAAATGGCTACGGCTGGAAAAAGGCAATTACACCCCCCACACCCCCCTCCCTTAATCCCAACGATAACATGCAAACGCACGCACGGGAACATAGACGTGACCTCTGAACCCCTGAGCTCATCCACGTAGTTGAGAGGTTTTTCAGCACAATTATACCAAAGGATTCTCTCCTTTACGCTCCAGTCCAATTAAAGTAATCAGGTGTGTGAAAGTGGGGCGTTGGATGCCGATCGGGATAATGACAGCGGGGGAAAAAGAGAGGCGGGGATCTGTAACCGTACGCGGCAAAGAGTCGGATTAAAGCCGAGAGACAGCGACACACGCTCAACGTCACGCCTCAACATCTCTACGGCTCTCGTCTGTTTCAGGTCGACCTGAAACAAAAGTTTTCCTCCATTTAATGACAATCGAGACTAAAGGATTAAAAGCAACTTGCATTTTTTGATTGACTTTAAAACGATTTGTCAATAATTTCCTCGATTAACTATTTTGTATAATAAACATCAGAAAACTGAAAATCAGTTCAGAATCTTGATGAATAGATTAGCAGTGCAGAATATCAATACGAATTAAAGTGTAATAAAAATTGAGACCTTAAGATAATTTTATAACTCATTTTCTATATAAAAAACTGATTTTTATAACAGTTAAACTAGCCTTTATAGACTAGGGACTAATAAATGCGCCCAAACTAAAATATCGACCAACGTCACTCTGTGCCTCAGAATACTTCCTCCCATAGACAAGTATTGATTAGAAGTCCGGTACATCATCACGTTCGCCTCCATGGTTCTCGTACGTGACACGCAGCTCTTTGTACGCGAGCGCTGCTCTGCAGATCTCCATCTCGCAGCGCTAAACAACCAGCCGTGTGACAGCACATGACGGGTACGGCTCCAGACGAGTCCATTGTCCAGCTGCTCCATATACAGTACGTGGACTTGCGGGTTTCCTTCCTCACTGCTGAAAAGACTCTGCAAGGATTGTTCTGCACCCCTGCTGACTAATTTTTTTTTTGTGATGGGTGGACCGGACCAGAGGACACACCCACCGACAGAGCGGAGGGAAATCGATACGCGGGCCCCGGGGCCGGAATCAGGTATGTTGGACCGTGAAGACGAAACAAGAAGAAGGGGAGGAGGGGAGCGACGAGGCACATTGTGAAGGCCAGCGCTATATAGGCCTATTGCTATTAGACCGCTCACACACACACACACACACGTTCCCTCCGCCCCTGACCTTCTGCTGTTAGATCTTGTTGCACTCTCTTCCCAAACAACTAATCCATAGCAGGGCGCCTGCAGAGATCTATTTTAATCTGCTCTGCGTCCTGCTTTCAATCATGTCTGCGATGCGCAGGTGTGATGTGAATTACCATAAAAGCACTCAGGAGCTGGAACGGTTCAATTGAGTCTGGACCGAACAGGGGGAATTAAAGAAGTTGCGGCATCGGGGGGGTGGCGGGGGGGGCATTTTCCACCATGCTTCTGTTAGTCGGGAGTCAGAGGAGATGTGGAAGTGACCAACATCCCCGGGGGCCTGGAGACCCCCAAAGGGCACAGCTTGGCTTCTTGTCTTCTGCGAGACATCTGCAGCGCGTCTCATTAATATTCAGCTATGAATCATTCACAGCCGGCTGTCGTTATCAGCAGAAGAAGACACGCACAGACTCACACAAAACCACCACAATACCAGAAAAGGTTCAAATGAAATCTGCACAAATGTGGATGGTCGATGAGTGTGTGTGTGTGTGTGTGTGTCTGCGAGAATGAAAAGGGCCAGTTATTCTGTAGGAAATAAATTGTGTAATCCGTTTTCTGAGAAGAAATGCCAAAGAATTCCTTGTTCCAGCTCTTCCCAGACAAGACAAGTTTTCCCTCATTTTATATATTCGTAGATTAGACGTCTTTGGCGTGTGGGCAGCAGGATCAGGATAAAAAAGTCACAATGGGTTCTGGGAAATTAGGATTTAATATTTCCCCCATTTAATGACAATTATGAGACTAAATTATTCATGAAAAAATAAAAAACTAGAAATCGATTTTTGGATTGATTTGTCAATAATTTCCTCCATCAACAATTTTAAACATCAGAAAACCTTCTTTAAATCTTCATTAAATCTTTTCGGAGCTTAATGTGACTTCTGCAGCAGCAACTGACCATTATTTTCTTTATTGAGGAATACATCATTTTCATGAAAGGATAAGTGAAAAGGTAAAGGACCAATGTTCTAGGAAAATTATTTTGTGCGACCATCAGTCCAAAAAATCTAATGTGTTCTATTTCAAAATAAGAGATGGAGGAGAAACAGCACCGGAAGCAGAACCCATCAAATGTCCGGCCGTTCTACGATGACTTCAATATGTCTGTAAATAACGGACTAATCGCTTCAGGTCCTCAGACGTCGTGCAACCAACAAATATCCATCTCTTCACTCTGCAAATACGCCGTCATTGACGAGCGCAGACGGCACCAGAGACGCCTTCAGAGGCCTCTGTGCGCCGACACAAAGGGGGAGACGCCGCTCTCCTCCAGGAGGCACATCTGCATGCGGTTTGCGGCTAACGTGCCTCCTCAACAGACTGCTGATGCACGAAGGATCCACTCCTCCATTTTTCCCCCCGTCTCCCGCAGCACATCTACAAAGAGGCCTCGACGTTTCACCGCCGTACCTCACGCCCCGCCGCCTGTAGCTTTACGTTCTCTCGCCGCTGAGTCTGCGTTTATCGGAGCTGAAGTCCACCGAGGGCTCTGTTCGCTCTGTAACAGGACGTGTGTTTGCATGGCGATACCGATCATCGCTGTTGCATCGTAAACACACTTGTGTCAACGTGAAGATAATTTATCTTTTCTCCCAGCAACACTTCAAACTGCATCCCGAGGCGGTTTTCTCCACTACACACGCGGCTCTTGACACGTGAATAAAGACGGCGCGAGAGGAGGTTTCATTTCAAAGACGACAGCGGGGACGACGCGGAGCAATAAGGGCGAGTCCACAGCGGCTTGAGCCGGCCTTTGCTGTCTTAATAAAACCAGTAAAGAACCATCCTGAGATGCAATCATACCTCTGCGTGGATGTGAATATTACATGACCTTTGGTTGGTGTCAGTGAAACTCAACAATGAGCTGGTGCTGATGGGACGTTGCCTGCATAACCTGAGGACATCAGATATGTGAGAAGGGAAGTGATTCAGCACGGACGAGAGGTGCAGAGCCCATTTAAACAAAAAAGACAGAAGTACAGAAACATCAAAGACGTGCTTTGAATCTGCATTGATTAATGTTATGGGCCGTGTGTTTTTCTCTCAGACATCAATATTGGGATGAGCGTGACCGTGGAGAAGGTGGAGCTGATGGCGTCCCGTGGCGGCCTCTCTCACCCCGGTGTGACGAGATGAAGAGAAAGCACAAATCCCCGCAAAAAACAAAACCCACTAACTACCGCAGAGAGGGAAATAATATTCACAGAGAACTAGACAAAGGGCACGCTAGCACACATGCATTACGCCGATGAACATGCACGTGCACGTAGGCGTGCATCACCAGAGAAACACAGGCACAGATTTCTGGCCCTTTTCTAATCGACGGTCGAGTGCATGCATGCATTGATCTGCCATTGATTCCATCAGTGCGTGTGTGTGCGTGTGTGTGTGTGTGTGTACATGGGACTTGACATGCACTAATGTCGATGGTAATGTGGGTTTATGTGCCGTGTTGCCAGCTTGTTAGGTAGCTAATACAACAATGCATTCTACCTTCATCGAGGTTATACTGTTCAATTTATGTTCAACGGTTTTAAAGAGGCGTTGATTGAATTTTATGGTCATTTCGGCGGCCGTGGTTACAGTGGTGTTAAATTATGCAGCTTTGTAATGCAAAGTGCTGCTAATTTTGTTCACACATTTTACATCAACGAGGCTCGGCCTCTTGTTAGAAACACCATTCAGTGGGAGGCTAAACAGTTCAAGAGCAACAACAAACTCCAACCTTAATTAAATGTGTAATTTACTTTTTAATATATAATTAATTTATATTTGTTTATACGTTTATATATCAAATACATTTGCCAAAGATTCTCTGGATTTGTTGCAGGTCTCTTTTATAGAATTGATA